TTAATACTGACCATCAAATTATGAATATTTATTTATTTGTTTATTTTTAAATAAGAATATTTATATTTTTCTTCAATATATTATATATCAAATTTATACCGTGCAACTAATAAAGGTAATAACTGCAAGTTTTGCCAATATATTATATTCCTAATTAAAATTATGCAATCAATAAAGGTAATAGCCGCAATATTTAATAAAATGATTATGTACATTATTATATTAATTTGGGCGGGATTTTTAAATATTGGCCAAAAATATTACTCAATATAGTAAATACTTTAGGTGAGAAATCAAATATTTTTTTGCTGATTTTTAGTTGCTATTTCAAGTAAATATCATTGTCTCTTTATATATTAATAAATTGATGAAATCCAGACACTTGTCGTGAGAATAAAACGTTAAGAAAATGTTACAAAGTGGTAGAGGTATAGGCTATGCATGGAATCTTCTGTAAAAATATATTATATTACTAAATAATTTTATTATTGTGGATCATATAATTAGTTAAATATAATTAAATTAATATTCAAATTTAATTAAAAGGTCAAATTTGTGATGTTTGACATGAACAATGATAAAATCATTATGATTTGTGTTGGAAATAATTCCACATAGGTTGGAAATGGTCTTCTCTATGTAGAGGTTACTATACTTCCATTATTGGACTTGGTTTCTCGGCTTCGGTGGGTTAGCTTGTTTTTAGCAAGGTTTTGAAAATGAAACCGGTCATCGTATCGGTGAAGCTACTGGTTCAATGGTTTACTAGTAGGATAGCGGTGAACCGGTTTAATAATATATATATATATATATATATATATAGTTTTATTTATTTTATATGTATGATATATAATTGAATATATTTTTATCATTATTTCATAGTGTATAATGACATTTTTCAAAATAAGAACTCATAATTAGATGCAAAAAAAAGTGTTGTGTAAGGTTCTTCACATAACGCTTTTTAAGCGTTATCTGAAGAATCGGTCTTCAGATAACACTGATTCCAATAACGCTTAAAAGCGTTATCTGTAGCAAAAAGAAAACACTATCTAAAGCCTTTTTTGACGTAGTGATGTACCCCACAGTATAACGTAATGTTGATGCATTATATTATATATATATATATATATGTTAGTCATAAAAATTGTAATAAGATGTATAAATTACATGGTAGACTAGACTAGATGAAAAGAATATTATATTTTTTTTATCATAATGCAGTAGTAACGGGCCAAACATAATGAAAAGAATGAGGTTTCTTATCACAATAATGTTACTAGCCACCTCGCCCAACATTTACATCACATAACCCACCTATTTTATCTATTGTGGTGGGCCTCAAACCCAGCCCAATTCAACTTTTTAGATCTTTATGTACCAAACAAAAGGAGCACATTGTAAGTCTCACATTGAAAACACATCAAAATGGAGACTGCTATTTAAACTATGATTTTGGCTTCCATTATCAAAGTTCCAATAAGCAGGCGGGCTCATTCGGGACGAAGTAGGAGATTGGGCCGGGGGCTTTATTCTAAATATCAGTTTTTGCACCATTACGGATGCTGAGCTATGGAGTCTTTTTCAGGGTCTACAGTTGGGTTGGGACAATGAACATAGGAAGGTTATCGCCGAGGTGGATAGCCTTTGCGTGAAAAAAATGGTTTGTGGCACAGAGAATGAACTCGGGCCCCACGAAGCATTGGTTAAGGCTATTCGAAATATGATCCAACGAGAATGGGTTGTTCGAGTCCAGCACGTCCATTTTGCGGCTGATCAGATGACAAGCCTTGCAGCATCCTATCCGACGGGAATGCACCGTTTCACCTCCCCCTGTGGGGATGGGACCATGGCTCGATCATGATAATATTGGGGTGTTTTACTCCCGTCGAGTACTAGCTTAAGCCAGTGACCTCTTTTGTACCAAAAAAAAAATGTCTCTATCCCATATCTTAGGAAATAATATAACTGATTGATGTAGATTTATATTCATCTTACATTTAATTAGGTTTATAATTAGTTAAAATTGTTAATCTCTTTATTTATTTTCCA